CACACACACACACACACACACACACACACACACACACACACACACACACACACACACACACACACACACCCAATCATAATAAGCAAATATTACTATTATCCCCTGTAAGAGTTAACTGGTCTGTCAACTTTATTAGCTTGGGAACAACTTAGGGCAAGGATGAGCACAGCAAGCCAAGGTACCAGGTTGTTTTATTTTTTAAACTAAAACCTCAGTGCTCAGGTTTAATTGCGGTGTCGCCACTTGGCGACAAATAAGTGTATTTTGGGCTGCAGTGTGGGTCAATCTCTAAAAGGTTCACCATTACTGTCTCAGGGTATCAGTGCAACTTTGGGTGTGGTATCTGTTCCCTAGCCCCATCCTCTCAAGCACTGTTCCTCTGCTCTGCTTAACAAAGCAGCTTTGTTCTGCCACCCCATTCCACCTGGATGTTCCTGCTTTGGAGCTATCTGACCATGAACTGAATTCTCCTGAAATCATGAACCAAATTAAACCTCTCTCCTTTTAAGTTGTGGGTGTTATGCAGTGTATCCCAGCAACAGGCACGCAGACCAATACATCCCTCAACTCACAGATGCAAGAGTGTGGCAGAACCACACACAGGTGAAATGGCAGAGCTGGGAGGCGGCACAGGCAGCCTTCCTTCCGAGCTTGCACTGTTAGCTACCACAGTACACTGTGTTCGGATAAAAGCCTTCGGAGTGAGGAAGTAAAGCCTAGTTTGCTAGGACTTCAACACCACGCTGTTTACTTCACTCCACCACGTTATCTGCCCCGTCCTTTTCCCTCCACTCTTGCTCAGCTACCTGCTCCCTACTCCAGCGACAGTGAACATTTTAGAAATTGAGTGCGGGGCAGGGGATTTGGCTCCGTGGTGCGGTGCTGCTGCCTGCCTCGCAAGCACAAGGTCCTGAGTTTGATCCCTGATGCAAAGTGCTAACACTGCAGTTAAACCCGAATGCTGAGGGTTTAGTTTAGAAAAAACTCATACATTAACATGTTTAATCTTAAAAGAAAAACTCAATAACATGCATGCCATAGGCTCGCCACCACTGCCCTACACTGTTATCAACGATAATTACAACTGGCTTCAAACCCACCTCAACTTCTAGTCCTCACAACTTTAGCCAAAACCAGCTCTCTGGGTCCCTCCTCTTAGTAACCTCTGACCACTCTGGCAGCTCCTGCCTCCCTGCTCGCCCATGCTTGTTACTTCTCCTTTCCTGTCCATTCTCTCCCACTAGCAGAGTCAAATTCCACATTTTACTCATTTTATTCCTTCTTTTTCCCTTTTCTTCTTCATCAAACTCGGCAAAAGCACATGAGGTTTAAACAGAACTCTCCAATTAGCCCGTACCTATTGCTAAGGTAGCCGGCATGACCACACCGCACGCTGGCTACTCTCCCTTGGTACATCCGCCATGTGCCCCTGGATGAGTATTTTACACTTTCTCAACTCCCCTTCCTTCACCTGTGCTCTTAAGTGATCTTGCTGGTATTTACTGAAACACAGACAAACAGTCGGACGTCTATGTCCATGAGGCCCCCCACACTGCCCACGGCACAGTACCCATCTTCTCCCCTCTCTGGTCCTCAGCGAAGGCCAGCCAGGCCCCTTCAGGAGGACACTGATCCTGCCGTCACTGCCACCTCTTCCTTACGCTGCCCCAGGAATCTGCACTGCTTTCTCTTATATCATTAGTTCTTCCCTATTATTTTTTTTTGTACCAGGGATTGAACTTGGGCCCTTGTCCTTGCGAGGCAGGCAGCAGAACCACTGAAACAAATTCCCAGCCTCCAGTTCCTCCCTTTATGAAGAATCACTCCCACTAACATATAAAACTCTTGTCTCAAACAAAAAACAAAGAAAGTAACATGAAACAACCAAAGGCCAGGGACGTAGCTCTAATGGAGAGCCCGAGAGACCCAGGCTTACAAAAGAACAAACACAAAAACAAACTGCTTGACATCAATTCCCTTCAGATGTTGCCCTCCTTTCTTTCTATCCCTTTAAAGCAAACTTCTCTCAAGTTTCTGTACACCACGTTTCTATCCCCCACCCAACCTTGCGCTTACATTTTAAATACTTTGATTTAGCTTTCTGGTAGCTGAACGTAATACCCAACATCCACGACTTGGAGAAGTTTAGTTGGATTCAGTAATCCTTCCTGGCGGCCAGGCAGCTGAGGGGAAAGGCAGGAACCACACAAGACCCCAGAGCTCATTTCCACAGCCTCCCCAGTGAGGCACCGCTGGTTTCCTAGGCTTATCTGAGAGCCCCAGTGTCCTCTCGCATCTGCTTCACTCAGGCTTTTACTCTTTTTACTACACTGAAACTGCTCTCCACGTATCCACGGCCTCTGTGGCTAAATCGAAGGGTCAACGACTCAGTCCTCAGCTCCCTTGATCTCTCAACAGCATGCGTTCCAGCTAAACATTCCGTCCTCCCACAGTATTTCTGCCCTTGCCTGTACACCACTTCAACTTGGGTCCTACCATCCTGCCCCTCCATTTTTACCGCTTTCCCACCTCGCAGAGGTTCTAGGGCCGTCTGGGAACTGCTTCACCTCCTAGATATTCACTTATCCGGGCTTCTGGCTTGGAACACAAGCACATGAAACGTACACCGTGTACATAGCTCTGCCATTCGTCTCAAGAACCATACATGGACCTATGCCTCCCTCCCAGCTCCTCCAGTCAGGATTCCCCGGAGACGGCCTGGAACAGCAGCAGACTGCATTTTTAATGGGGATCTTCCAGAAAAGTATGGAACGCTTCACGAATGTGTGTGCCGTCCCTGCGCAGGGGCCATGCTAATCTCTTTATCGCTCCAGTTTTGCTCTATGTGCTGCCGAAGTGAGCATGTCACCATGTCATTTTTTTGGGGGGGGTATGGGGATGGAACTCAGGTTCGCTTTGCACCTGCAAAGCAGGGGGCGGAACCACTGAGCTAAATCCCTGGACCCAACCATGTAATTTATGAATCTTTTTTTGGTACTGGGGATCGAACGCGAGACCTTACACTTTCAAGGCAGGCGGCGGAACCACTGAGCTAAATCCCCAGCCCTTTCAACCATGTAATTTTTAATTGTCATGGTAGTGACACCCATCCATGACCCCAGAACTCTGGGAGGCTACAGAAAGAGGAGTGCAAGTTTGAGTCCAGCGTAGGAACTTAGAGACCACTCTGAGAAAAAGAGATAGGGAAGTCACTCACTATCAGTTCAACCTCCAGTAGGGCCAAAACAAGACAAAGCAAGCCCTACAAACTCTCAGCTACAACTTCAAAACATATCAACGGGCTGCATGTAGCTCAGCGGTGGGGTACTGCCTAATAAGCGGGAGGCCTTGGGTTTGAAGCCCAGCACCGGGAGAAAGCAGGCCAGATCCCGCATGTGTACTGCGACCACCCTGGATGGGGCTTTTCCTACAGGGAGTGCAACAGGCGCGAGACAAGACTCCCAGCTCCCATCTGTGCTCCCGCGGCAGCCCGCCTGACTGAGCCCCTGGCGCTCCCCGCTGATCTCCACCAGCCCTGCGAGCTCTGGGCACAGCTGGCGCACAACTGCAAGGCGTTCACACTGCGGCGGTCTAGGCCTGGAAGGCTCTCCTCCCCAGACAGCCTCGGGGCCAGCGCTTCTCTTTCCTGTCTCTACTCCATGTCACCGCCGTCACGGGACCCTTAGTACCCTTTCTAGGGTTCCAGCTTCAAACCTAACCTTTCCTGTACAATATTTTATCTTTTTTTGAGAACACCTAAATAAGTAAACCTACATGCATGTGCACGTGAGCATGCACACACATGTACAAGCATGTGCACGTGCACCCCGCCCCAAAGCGTTTACGATTTTACTGTCTCCCTTGCTAGAAAGTAACCTCTCAGAGGGCGGAGATGCACATATTTGTACAAGGCTGTACTATCAGTGTGAGAACAATGTCTGGGCAGAGGTAAGATCACTTCAGTCCCGCTGCACTGGGAAGGGGGACTTTAATCCAAAACTAATTTACAAAACAGAAGAAAGAAAATCTGAAGTTACTTGACTTTCACAGACTCGAAGTTTATAGTTGAAGGGAAGGAGAAAAGAGGTAATGAAGAGTTTTGGGATTTGACTAATCAGATAAAAGTTTATCAACAGTTTTAAAGTAAAACCCTGAATCTTCTGCTGCCTGCTTCACAAGAGTGAGGACCTGAGTTCCATCCCTGGTACCAAACCAAACCAAACAAAACACCAAAAAAACCCCTCCAAAACAACAACCCCCCCATGAATATTACTTTACTGTACAAGCAAACAATAAAATTTGACAAGGAACAAACTACAAATCATCTTTACAATTTCCCCCTAATTTTAGTGTGTTACAAAAATCTAAGCTTAGAATGGTGGCGCAAGCCTGTCATCCCAGCACTCAGGAGGTTGAGGCAGGAGGATCACTGTGAGTTTATGGCCAGCCTAAACTGTATAGCTAGACCCTGTCTCAAAAGAAAAAACAAACCAAAAACCAAAAAACAAACAAACAAACCAAAAAAACCCAAAACCCAAAACAAAACAAGCTGGGTGTGGTGGCACAAGCCTGTAATTCCAGCACTCAGGAGGCTGAGGCAGGAGGATCGCTGTGAGTTTGAGACCAGTCTGGCCTACATAGGGAGTTCCAGGGCAGTCTCAGCTACAGAGTGAGACCCTGTCTCAAAAAGCCAAAAAAACAAAACAAACTCCAAAAAACAAAACAAAACAACCCCTATGTGCCACACAGAGACCTACAGTGGGTTTCGCAGTGGCATTTTCATGCACGCGTGTAGCACACTCTGACCACACCCCCAGCAGTCCCTCCCGCCCTCCCCCTCTTACCGATAATCCTCAAGTCTTATTTTTGTCTAGATTCCCCACAGCACAAATTAACAGAACTGAGCTGTAATCATATCTGACCCCCCTTTCAAGGCAATATTCTTCCTCCCCCATTTCCCTATTCGGGTGCTAGTAGGGACTGAACCCAGTGCCTTCACACTGAGCTACATTGCCAGCCCTTTGTATAATCAGCTTTTACATGTTGAGAAAGGGTCTCGTTAAGTCACTACACTGTCCAGGATGAGCTTGAACTTGTGATCTTCCTGTCTCAGCCTCTCACATGCAGGGTTACAGGTGTGTGCAACCAGGCCTGGCAGTAATATTTTCTTAATGTATACAAGGAATCTATATTAAAAGATACACACGGCTAGCCGGGCGTGGTGGTGGCGCACACCTGTAATCCCAGCACTCGGGAGGCTGAGGCAGGAGGATCTCTGTGAGTTCAGACCAGCTTGGGCTACATAGTGAGTTCCAGGTGAGTCTCAACTACACAGTGAGACCCTGTCTCAAAACAAAAAACAAACAAAAAACCCAACAAAAGATACACGGGGGATTACTACTCTCGTAATTTAGAAATTAAAATTAATGACAAAAAGGAAAACAAAGTGGTCTCCATGTTTAAAAGGAATGCCTTCTATTTACTAAAAACAAATGAAATGGAACACTTAAAAAAGGGCAACGGAGTCATATGTCTTGGTTTGTGGTCACATAAAAAAGAGGTGAACTGCAGAGTGCAGGTAGGAAGCGGGAAAGAAGTGTCAAGGGAGAACACTCTGTGACTGAACTCACCGGAAACTGGCCTCATGATGTCCACTGGCTCTACTTCCTCTTTCACTCTGATCTCAGGTACAGGGGGGCCTAGGACAGAAGCCAGGCTGCCACTCCCGGTGGCCGTTGGTGGTGGTGCAGCTGCAATAGTCGAGACGGGTGGCGGGATGGGGCCTGCTCCCGGGATGGTGGAGAGAGCACCGGCTGGCTGGGAGGGGGGACTAGCTGCAGCAATCACGGCTGGAGTGGCTGGAGGCGGCTGCTGGGCAGTGGGAGGGGCGGCAATGGCAGGTTGGTCATTATTTTGACTGGATACGGTCTCCATGGACACAGGGACCGGAGTGGCCATAGACACGTGGATTTCAGACTTGGGTTTGGCACTGAAACATAAAAGCAAAGCACATAAATCACCTTAGCCTGCAACACCCCGAAGGATGGGTATCTGCCTTTCTCTCTGTACACCATGCAGCACAACTGACACTGCTTTGGTTTTAAACTTGGCAGGGACTTTCAAAGGTAATTCAGATGTTTTTTATTTATGATGCTGGGTAACGAACCTAGGACCTTGTGCATGCTAAGGACAGCTCTATCTCTGAGAAACACATCTAGCCTGAATTCATATATATTTTTAAAAACATCCTATGTACTCCTATCCTGTCATGTTACTATAAGCAGTAATTCAATTAACTTAGAAAATAACATTTTAAGGAACTCATTCAAAGTCACATCATTGTACAAGCACCACCAATTTTCATGAATGCATTATTTCCTCCAGAATTCTTTACTATATATGCCGTCTTTGTAGTTTTTTCCTTTTAAGCTAGTTATTTTCATACATAGTTTCTTATGACCTATTTCTTATAGATGAGAAAAGTCATACAAGTGGCAAAGTTTCAAAGAATACAAGGAATAAAAATAATGTGTGCCCTAGTTTTGCAATTTTATAAGGATTTATTAAGTTCTCTAAGGTACAGTATTCATAAAAATTATTTTTAGTAGTAAAACACTTCACTAAATAGACATAATGCTTTACTTTTATTACTGCTGCCAAAAATGAGGTATTCAAAACCAACACATTCCTCAAGTTGAAGTCTAAAATTAAACATCCACAGGAAAAGAAATGATCAACCTAGACTTCATGTTGAATGTAAAAATCTACTCAAAATGAATCACAGATCTAAATATTAAAAAACATTATAGCTGGGTGCAGTGGCACACTCACTCCTGTAATCCTAAAACTCAGGACACTGAGGCAGGAGTGCCACAAGTTCAAGGCCAGCCTGGACTACCCAGTGAGACTTTGTCTCAAAAACAAAACAAAACAAAAAAACCAAAAAAACCCCAAACATTTTTAGAAGAAAATACAAAAGAAAATGTAGGGGCCGGGGATTTAGCTCAGTGGTTCGGTGGCCTGCCTTACAAGCACAAGGACCCGAGTTCAATCCCTGGTACCAAAAAACAAAACAAAACAAAAAAAAAAAACAAAAAACAAAAAACCAAAAAAAAGAAAATGTAGGATTGGGTGAAGAGTTCTTAGAATTATTAAAAAATATAATTGATAAAAAATGATATATACGGGCCAGGGATTTAGCTCTATGGCAGCACTGCCTGCCTCGCAAGCACAAGGTCCAGAGTTCGACTCCCAGTATCAGAAAAAAAGGATCAGTTTGCTGGCGCATGGTGGCACACATCTGTAATCCCAGCACTTGGGAGGCTGAGGCAGGATTGCTGTGAGCTCAAGGCCAGCCGGAACTAATAGCAAGTCGCTGTCTCAAAAACCAAAACCACCCTTGCAAGTCCAAGGACCCAAGTTAGATCACCGGTACAAAAAACAAAAGCAAACAACAAGAAAAAAAAACCCAAACCCAAACCCAAACCAAACAGAAAAGATAAATTTGGCTTTACCAAAATTTAAAAAACTTTTGCTTTGCTAAAGACCGTTACAAGAAACTGAAAAACAATCACCGATGGGAAGGAAATGTTAGGATGTCACGTGTAAGGACAGGGAGCTAGTAACATAAGGGCAGACACTGTGTGCTTCCAATTCCAAGAGGTTCCCAGAGTGGCCAAATTCACAGAATGCAGGAGCAGTGGAGGGCAAGGGCTAGAGACACAGGAGGAAGGAGAATGAGTACTGAGTGGGTACTAAGTTTCAGTTTGTGAAGATAAAAAATCTACAGATCTGTTATACAGCAGTATGAATACATTTTACACTAAAGTTCATTTAAAAAAGTATCAGAAATAGAAGAAAAAAATGGAAACAGACTTCTGGGAGGATGGCAGAGTGGTGAGCAGCACAGAAAGAGCTTCTCCAAGCTTTGGTGTTCCGACACTAGAATACAGCAGAGAGGAGGAAGAGGAGGCGGTAAGTAGGTTCCCCAGACCCAGGAGGGATCTGAGCAGAGAAGTGACGTCTGCAAGGAGAGTGGAGAGAGTGACGCACGGAGAGGAGGGAGGCAGCACGCAGTGCTCTCCCAGAGCCGGGTACTCCGCACAGGAAAGGTGGGCCAACACTGCAGATGCACAGCGACTACTGACGACCCCAGAGTCCTCCACGGGAGCAGTGGATCAGGTGTTCAGACCTTACCCGCGAGAGGGTGACTGGCACGTACCATCTTGGAGAGAGGCATACAAAGCTGAGAACTCAGAACAGCTTTGGGCAGGCTCCATTTAGTGGCTTCTGGTGCCTCGCTATGGGTACTGAGTTCAAGTCAGCAGGAGTTCAGGGAGAAGAGTTCAAACCAGCAGGAGACACAGACTGTTGTAGGCTCAAAACATCTGGTTCCTGCCTCATAGCCAGAAACCAGTCTGAACTTCTGAGGAACTCAAGGGGCAGGCTGGCTGGGATTATCCACTACCCCACCGTGAAGCTGCAGCTAGCTTGCTGGGATTAATTAATTTGGCTCTGGACTCTTGTTTGTGCACACTAACAGTGGCGGCAGAGATACACCTTGGACTGGGACATTTCTGGGTTTTTTCGGTTTTTTGAGACAGGGTCTAGTTCACTATGTAGTTGAGACTGACCTGGAACTCACTATGTAGCCCAGGCTGGTCTCAAATTCATTGTAATACTCCTGCCTCAGCCTCTGGAGTGCTGGAATGACAGGCGTGGGCCACCAAGCCCAGCTCCTTTTCTCTTTCCCACCTGTCTTCACCACTTTCCTAAAGTTTACCTTCCAGCCTTATATCTGACCTCTTCCTCTTTTGTTTTTTACTTCCTAATCCCATTTATTTAGTTTATTGGTACATTTTAGGTATACAATTACATTCATCATTGGGATCTTGTACCTTTATATGACTTATCTTGGTTCTTTTATTTTTTTTTGTTACTGGAGATCAAACTCAAGACTGCACTTGGGAGGCAGTTGGCGGAATCACTGAGCTTAAATCCCTGGCCCTACCTTGGTTCTTATTTTCCCCCATTCCCCAGCCCTCCACCCCCCCACCCTTCCCTGTTTACAAAGACTTTGTTTCCATGTTTTTCCTTTCACATATTTTCTTTCCCTTTTCCCTTTCCCCTACCCTTCCCACTTCCTCTGCTCCTTTAGCCCTTTTCTTCCTATTACACAATATCAATTATACATATTGATCCTTATTTACACTTTTAGTTTTTCACACCAGAGAAACTGTTTGGTATTTATACATGTGTGTCTTATTAATTTCACTTAAGAGTATGGCTTCAATGTGCACCCACATAGCTATAAATGTCTCTAGTTTCTCATTCTTTATGGCTGAGTAGTACTCCATTTTATTAAAAAAAAAAAAAACCAACACATCTTTTAAATCCAGTCTCCAGTTGACAGGCAATTGTGCTGTTTCCAAATTTTAGCTA